TTGAAAATAGTTACTCGGGGGTTTTTGGGGTCGCTGAATACGTATCTAGGGTCAGTTTTTAAAAAAACAAATCGGCGGACCTCAGATTTGTATTCAGCGATCCTAAAAACCGCCATATTGGATCCGCCATTTTGAAATTTTAAAAACTATCCACAGATTCGTATTTATCGACCCTAAAAACCTTAGAGTGACGAATTTCAAGCGAATTCATTCGATTTTTAATTTTCATGTCCGACATATTGAATCGGCCATTTTGAATTTTCAAAAAATGACTTTTTAATAATTTTTTATTTTTAAATAAATTAAAAGTTTGTTTTGATGTTAAATAAATTAGACTGAAGAAGATGGTAAACTACACCTTCAAAACATCGATCGCAACTTTAAAGTATGACATAAACTTGCTTTTTTTATATTTTTTACCTTCCTATTGATCGGATTTTATTCTTGAAATATTACACATATTTAAAAGGGAATTCTATTTTTCATTTTAATTCTTTTCTTGTCACTTCAACTATTATTTTGCCAAAACATATTCCATAAACTACTTTATTTGTTTCAAGGGAAAATATAAGTATGGAAAATTCTTTATCTCTATGGGAAAATATATAGCGCGTCTCTGACCACATAACCTATCGAAAAATCTTTCTCGAGATTAAAGTATATACCCAGGGTATTCAATTCGAGTTGGTCGTAAACTATGCGTCTGGTCGATTTTCAATCTGAAGGTGAAATCGATAGAAATAGAATGAAAAAAAAAAATTTTTTCGATCACCCAATCTCTATACATGCGACTTTGAAACGCGCGAAAAAAGTTCACTAACTGTAGGGAATTCAAAAATTTATTGACCCTACATCACTGGAAATTGAGAAAAATTGGATTTTCCTGTTCCTTACACTGATTATGTTCTATTGAAATGCCTAACTCTTTTAAGTTTAAACCTAGAACTCCCAATAGTCACATTTCTTTTACCCTATCTGCAGTTCATTTTCATTTTTAATCTTTTAAAACTTAAAATTTTTGAAAATTTCTTCAAGTTTGAATAGAAATTATTTATTTTACATTTTTTTGAAAAAATTCAGAAGACTTTTGATGTTGATAATATTGGTTATTACTTTACTCTAATTAACACTAATGACACCTGAGCTAATCTTTGTCAATTACCGATCGAAAATTCCCGCAGTCAATTTCTACGGAAATCATAAAATCTTTAGATTTTTTTCCGACTAACTCTACCTTACATGGTGTATTAACAGGAAAAAGTAGATGAATCCTCTGCAAGTAGACGATGCGTCATTTGCAGTCGAAAGGATACTTCAGAGGAGAAATATTTTTCCAAAGTGTTTGGAGGCGAGGTGAAGGAGGACTTCTTAACTAGTTTTCCTTTTCCTTCGTAAGTTAGAAAGCCTACTTCGGCTGTCTGAAGCAGCAATCTTTGAATTTAAATACATTTTTAAAGCATGTTTCAAAGTCTTTCATAAAATTTTTTGCCCAGGAACGAAAATTTCAGCAGTGACTACTTACGAGGATGTAATCCACTTATGAAACTTAGTGACTTTTATTTATTTATTTATTTATTTTAAACTTTATTTCAAATAACTGTAGTTTCCAAAGATTCATTTATTTATTATTTGAGTCGCTGAATGTGAATCTGAAGTCAGATTTCAAAAATTCAAAATGGCGGATCCAATATGGCGGACGAAAAAATTAAAAATTAACCTTTTTTGCTATTGCCTTTGATGGACAGAGCATTTTCTACACTTACCTTTGCGGTGGCTGGATAAATTCCGAAATTTGCTTTTACTAGCCAAATCATTTTATATTTTGCCTGTAGTGATTGATTTTTAATTTTTTTTGTCCGCCATATTGGATCCACCATTTTGAATTTTTGAAATTGACTTCAGATTTGCAAATTGATCCCGGAAAACCTTAAGCAAATCTGATTGATTTTTTTTATCCGCAAATCTGACATTTTGAAATTTGTACATGAAATTTACAATCATCTGGTCCAAAATAACATACTACAAGTCTAAAATAATAATAATAATAATAATAATAATAATTCGTAACTTTAATTATTTTGTTGCATTGTAAGAGATAGTGTATATAGTATATGAAATTTCAATTAATATGTATATTTTCAAAGTTATGATTACTTTAACGAATTTGTGGTACAGCGTCTACCTCAATAACTAACGTTAATTGAACAAATATTTGAAAACTGTTACTTTACAACTTTTATAATGAAATTATGTATGCAGTGGATTATAAATTTTATTAGTTCTTTAGTACATTACTAATGTGTCAGAGTCCATGACTTCAATTCCTGAGACGATGGCAAATAATAAATATTTTCAAATTTAAACTTAACTTTTTCTCAAGTGTAACCAGAACCAACGCGTATAAAAAGTGGTATGATCTACTTTGAACTAACTGTCAAATCCTTCAGTTGCAAGAAAGAAGGATAAGAGAGGCTGAATATAGTTTTCTGGATTGTCCTCCAACTTTGCTGGTTTTGCAAATGTTTTAAAGATTTTGAAAAATTGACTTTTGTCCACACAGATTATGCAAATATCAGTTTGTGCTATTATGAAAGATTTATTCAACATTTAAAATTTGTCATTTGTCAGTTTCTTCGATGTGAAATTGTACTTTTGTACTTGTTTAATAAAAAAGTATGGTAATAACCAACTAACAAAGATAATTATTATTAGTTATTTGCTAAGTGTTACTTAATGACATTCTTGCAGTTTTTAAAGTAAAGATTAATATTAATTTCAGTATAAGTGTTAGAGTTACTTGGGGATTCGATTATTTCACCCACACTCCACAAGTCGTTTCACTCCCACGTTTCTTTGCCTCAGGTTGAAAATTTCCACCAAGAACATAGCTCGTAAAGGACGGATATTAAAAAATAAATGAAATACCAAAGACACACGTGCACGTTAAAAGGAAATAGAAGCGATCCTTGAATGACTTTAAATCAATCTGTTTCGCGACGAGCAGGGAATTTTTCCTTAAGTCTAAATCTCTTTTTCTTTGGAAATTAAAGAAAATGTAACTTTTATTAGTTAATTTGCAATAAAAGTCACTTATACATGTTTAAATAATATAATTAGCGTATAAAAAATTTTTTAGGACAAAATCATTTAAATTTTAAGGATTCACGCAAGTATAGTTTAAGTTAACTATCTCGTAATAGATATAACATTTCGAATTATTAAAAAGGACTTGCGTAAGTATCAAGTAGGGGAACTTATAATAACTTGAAGAAAGTTAGATTAGAAGATGTTAAAATTAAACGTTAATAACTACAAGTTTTGCTGGAGCTTACACTTTTTCAAATTATTAACGTGAACACCTGTTGTATTTCTATAAAGTGCTTCAACTTTCTGCCGTAAAAGGAAATTTCTTCCTGTAACAGGCGATCATTTTCTAATTTCTTAAAGAAGATGTGCTCATAAGGAGTAAAAGACCGTTTTTTTAGCGTTTATCGTTCAACACTTAAATTACTTAAATATTTATTCTTATTAAGTGTTCCTGTAAAAGTCGATGTCTCAGAAAATTAAACTTTGTGATAATCTTTAATCTAAAATCTAGCAATACCCTAGTTTTTATTAATTTAAGTTGTTTTAAACCAAATGTCTGAATGATGTCGTGTTTAATAAATTTACTTAACTTTTTGAAATCTTTATTTCTATCAGGATGATATTTAGTCACATTATTAGAACTTTAATGTTTTATTAATTCAAGGGAAACTATTGTTAATAAATAAGTGATTGCTTTATTTTTAATAAATGTCAATTTGGCAAAAATAGTGTGTAATCCTGTAGATAATGATCTTTTCTAATCTCACAACAATTTCGCGTCAACTGTTAAATTTGTACAGAATCTCCCTATATATGAGATTTAGTAGCAAAAAGAAGGTTTTCTCATTGTCGAGTTCCGACGCGAATATAATTAAATTTCGATTATAATAATTTACTTATAACAATTGTGATTAACAAAAAGTATTATTGATCAAATAAATTATTTAAAATTAATTAAAACACTCTAGTTCATGACGTATAAATTTTAGTTTTACATTTAAATGTTTATAAAAAGTTATAATTAATAAAAACATTTAATTTACCAATCTAATGAATTTTATATCTTGCATTTCTTTTACTTTAGCTTTAGCTCCTTTTGAAAACCAAAATTCAAACTATTGTCCTTTCCTTACCCTTTTTATGCAATAAAATGAGGTTCGTATTGTTAAGCAAAGTTTGAAGTAGATCCTAGTTTCTACAAGTTCTATCCAACATTTTCCATATCTGAATTCCGATTTCAATATCCTATCCCCTTATATTTCGGTACAACACATAAACTTCACTCTGTGGAGAAATTCGCTATGAAAAATGGAACAGTATGTTAGCTCTTAAAAAAAACTTACCAGAAAAAAAAAGAATGTACTTGCTCATAAAACGAAAATTCTATACGAGTCCATAAAAAATAGAGCTTAGATCGAAGCCTTTTAGTGTACCCATATTTTGAATTTTTATGATCAATAAATTCATTTTCATATTTTTACATCTGATAAATATTTTTATTATTTTCATGAAAATTAATGATGACTTGATGATGGACATGGAAAAAAATTAATAGTTACGTTTGTTGTATATTTAATTTTTTAATTAATTTAATATTTTCGGGCCAGCCAATGTGAAAGGTCCGGAATCTAGGTGTCGATGTAAATTAGATAAAACACTTCTCAGCCTAGGAGTGACCGAATTATTGATTTGACGTTGATGTCGAGGTAATGCAGTCCTTAGAAAAATATAAATGTTCCTCGTATTAGAAATTATCCCCTTGAAATAAAATTATGACTTTCAGATTCGTATGCAAAATTTTTTTTACAGAAATTTGGAGCAACAGAAAGTGACTTTAAAATATGACTTTGATTAACAATAAGGGAGAAATTAATATTCGCTTCTCAAATTTATTCACCCTCTATTCTTTTTAGCCTGTCAACAGGTTAAATTTGGGGTTCAGGCGATCTTTGGTCCGTCCAATCCAATTCTGGGACAGCACATACACAGCATTTGTGACGCTCTTGACATTCCACACTTGGAAGCCAGGGTTGATCTGGACACGGAAGCAAAAGAATTCAGCATCAATCTACATCCCGCACAAACTTTGCTCAATAATGCCTATCAAGACATCATGGCATTCTTGAACTGGACAAAAGTAGCTATTATGTATGAGGAGGATTATGGTAAGAATTCAAATAATGCTACAAATTATCAGTAGTTGTTTTTGTATTAAGTAGTAAAACTCAATGATAGTCAGATCAGACCAACACGAAGATTTCGAATTCTTTCATAGGAATTTTGACGCTAAGCAGTAAAAATCCACTGTAGTCAGACAAAAACGAAAAATTCTTAGAAATCCTTCTTAAGTAGTAAAAATCAACTATATAGTCAGACAAACAAGAAAATTTCGTATTAATATTATTTTAAGTAGTAAAACTCAACGTTAGTCAGACTAACACGAAGATTTCAAATTCTTTCCTATGAATTTTGATTTTAAGTAGTAAAAATCAACTGTAGTCAGACAATATCGAAAAATTCTTAGAAATCCTTACTCTAAGTAGTAAAAATCAACTATTTAGTCAGACAAACAAAAAAATGTCCTATTAATTTTATTTTAAGTAGTAAAACTCAATGATAGTCAGACCAACACGAAGATTTCAAATTCTTTCCTATGAATTTTTACGCTCAGCAGTAAAAATCAACTATAGTCAGACAATAACGAAAAATTCTTAGAAATCCTTCTTCTAAGTAGTAAAAATTAACTATTTAGTCAGACAAACAAGAAAATTTAATATAAATTTTATTTCAAGTAGTAAGAATCAACTATAATCACACTGTAAAAAGAAAGGTACTAATTTAGTACCAAAATTGGTACTAAATCGTAATTTGGTTCTATTTTAGTACCGAAATCAGCTCTAATTTAGAACTTTTTTTTATAGTGCAGACAATATCGAAAAATTCCTAAAAATCCTTCCTCTAACCCTAGTAGAAATTTGTCATAGTATCTTTAAGGGCACTGGACAGTTCCACTGGAAAATTTCGAGGCACTTTACAGTTAAACTGGCTAAAAACTATAAAGTGATGTCACGCTAATTTCTTCAAGTTATTGTCCAGTCAAATTTTACAGTTTCTGATCATCAGTCCTGTAGAAAAACTATACAAAATAATTCACTTGGAAATGTCAAAACTTTCTTTATATTGACGTTACGTATTAAACACGTACAAATTTGAAAATATAACGTTAAATTTTTTTGTCAACAAATTAAATAAATTAAAATTTTACGAAACTATATTTTTACTGTTGGTGTATCTATTGTTCCGTATAATAAATGATTTATAATAAATTATCTGTAAAATTATTTTTAAATAACTACATAATTAAAAAAAAATATAAAAATTACTGATTCTTGAACACATGTCATTTTTTTACATTAAACAACATTCACTTTTTCCTTTAATTAAGCACAACACTGAAATAAATATTATTATTTTATCACACTACAAACTTATAAGTAAACCCTAATATGAAGAATTAATTCAGTTCAAACGAAAAATATCTAGCGGTTTCGGGGAGCGAACTCGGGTCACACTGGGACGAAATACCTAAACGCACGCTTTACGCATCACGGCCGTTCTAGTCGATGGACGATTCCGGAAAAATAAGAACCATACTCTACCGGCAGGTAAAGCAGTTCCCTTTTTCATCTTTTCTAGCTCAACTGGCGAATTACTGGACAGCTACTGCATAACACTCTAAAGTTGAACTTATTGATTATTACTGTATAGAAGTTCTGTCTGTCCAGTTATTCTCATGGTACTGTCTAGGCGTTCCGTGAAATTATGTTTCAAAGTTTGTCGTGGCGTTAGCGCTACCGTCAGTCCAGCAACTGAACAGTGTTGTGTAGACATTTTCCATAAATACATCAGAGTATACACTGAAAGAAATAATTCGCGGGTGTAACTAGAATTATGTCTATTTTTTCCGTAAGGAATTAGTAATAAATTGTTACTGTCTACTGTCATTAATTATAGACAGTTCTGTTATTCAGATCGGAGAGCTATACATATGTCAACGTCAATTCATCAATGTAAAACATAACCTCACTTTATTGGACCAATTCTAACTTTTTGTATGTAACAGGTTTGTTAAATTAATATTTATACATATAATAAGAGTATATAATCTTGAAAAGAAATTGTCTTCTGAATTTAAAAAATTAGTTATTTTAATTAACTCAATTAATTGAAGCGAATTTTAAAAAAATTTTTTTTTTCTAAAGGAATTTTCATTAAAAATAAATTTTGATTGAAAAGAAATTTTTATTATTAAATCAAAATTTTAATATTAAATAATTTAAAAAATTTGTTATTTAGTTGTCAACAGTAAAATAAAAGAACAAAATTAAAATTATAAAAACTATAAACTGTAAAACCAAAAGATTTATTTTATAGAAAATATTTCGAAAATGTCAATACACAACTGTTTAGTTACTGAAACTGGCGGTAGCGCTAACGCCACGACAAACTTTGGAACATCATTTCTCGGAACGCCTCGACAGTGCCATGAAAATAACTGTACAGGACTTCTATGCAGTAATAATCAAGTTCAACTTTATATTTTCTTTAACAGTGTTATGCAGTAGCTGTCTAGTAATTCGCCAGTTAAGCTAGATTAAACTTCCATGACTAAAACTGTACAGTAACTTGAATAAATCTAGTCATGCCACGACAAATTTCTACTAGGGAAGTAGTAAAAATCAACTTTTTAGTCAGACAAACAAGAAAATTTCCTATTAATTTTATTTCAAGTAGTAAAAATCAACTATAGTCAGACAATATCGAAAAATTCCTAAAAATCCATCCTCTAAGTAGTAAAAATCAACTATAGTCAGACATTATCGAAAAATTCTTAGAAATCTTTCTTCTAAGTAGTAAAAATCAACTGTTTAGTCAGACAAACAAGAAAATTTCCTATTAATTTTATTTCAAGTAGTAAAAACCAACTATAGTCAGACAATATCGAAAAATTCCTAAAAATCCATCCTCTAAGTAGTAAAAATCAACTATATAGTCAGACAAACAAAAAAATTCCCTATTAATTTTATTTTAAGTAGTAAAACTCAACGATAGTCAGATCAGACCAACACGAAGATTACGAATTCTTTCCTAGGAATTTTGACGCTAAGCAGTAAAAATCCACTGTAATCAGACAATAACGAAAAATTCCTAGAAATCCTTCCTCTAAATAGTAAAAATTAACGATTTAGTCAGACAAAGAAGAAAATTTACTATAAATTTTATTTCAAGTAGTAAAAATCAACTTTAGTCAGACAATATTGAAAAATTCCTAGAAATCCTTCCTCTAAGTAGTAAAAATCAACTATATAGTCAGACGAACAAGAAAATTTCCTATTATTATTATTTCAAGTAGTAAAAATCAACTTTAGTCAGACAATATCGAAAAATTCCTAAAAATCCATCCTCTAAGTAGTAAAAATCAACTATATAGTCAGACAAACAAAAAAATTCCCTATTAATTTTATTTTAAGTAGTAAAACTCAACGATAGTCAGATCAGACCAACACGAAGATTACGAATTCTTTCCTAGGAATTTTGACGCTAAGCAGTAAAAATCCACTGTAATCAGACAATAACGAAAAATTCCTAGAAATCCTTCCTCTAAATAGTAAAAATTAACGATTTAGTCAGACAAAGAAGAAAATTTACTATAAATTTTATTTCAAGTAGTAAAAATCAACTTTAGTCAGACAATATTGAAAAATTCCTAGAAATCCTTCCTCTAAGTAGTAAAAATCAACTATATAGTCAGACGAACAAGAAAATTTCCTATTATTATTATTTCAAGTAGTAAAAATCAACTTTAGTCAGACAATATCGAAAAATTCCTAGAAATCCTTCCTCTAAGTAGTAAAAATCAACTATATAGTCAGACAAACAAGAAAATTTCCTATTAATTTTATTTTAAGTAGTAAAACTCAATGATAGTCAGACCAACACGAAGATTTCAAATTCTTTCCTATGAATTTTGACGCTATGTAGTAAAAATCAACTGTAGTCAGACAATAACGAAAAATGCTTTGAAATCTTTCCTCTAATAGTAAAAATCAACTATTTAGTCACACGGAGAAAAAGGAATTGTTAAATCTACTAGCGGATTGATAATATAGAACTAGCAAATACTTCGAAATCTTTCCTCTAAGTAGTAAAAAGGGGCCGTCCATGTACCACGTGGACAGTTTTTTAAAAATTTTGTACACCCCCTCCCCCCTTGTGGACACAAAAATACATGGGATCGTGGACATATTCAAACTTTTTTTAACCCCCCCACCCCCCAATAGTGTCCACGTGGTATATGGACGACCCCAAATAAACTATTTAGTCAGACAAACAAGAAAATTTCCTATTAATTTTATTTGAAGTACACTGTAAAAAGAAAGGTACTAATTTAGTACGAATTTTGGTACTAAATCGTAATTTGGTTCTATTTTAATACCAAAATCAGCTCTAATTTAGAACCTTTTTCTACAGTGTAGTAAAAATTAACTATAGTCAGACAATATCGAAAAATTCTTCCTCTAAGTAGTAAAAATCAACTATATAGTCAGACGAATAAGAAAATCTCCTATTAATATTATTTTAAGTAGTAAAACTCAACGATAGTCAGACCAACACGAAGATTTCAAATTCTTTCCTATGAATTTTGACTTAAAGTAGTAAAAATCAACTGTAGTCAGACAAAAACGAAAAATTCTTAGAAATCTTTCCTCTAAGTAGTAAAAATCAACTATTTAGTCAGACAAACAAGAAAATTTCCTATTAATTTTATTTCAAGTAGTAAAAATCAACTATAGTCAGACAATATCGAAAAATTCTTCCTCTAAGTAGTAAAAATCAACTATATAGTCAGACGAACAAAAAAATCTCCTATTAATATTATTTTAAGTAGTAAAACTCAACGATAGTCAGACAATATCGAAAAATCCCTAGAAATGCTTCCTCTAAGTAGTAAAAATTAACTATATAGTCAGACAAACAAGAAAATTCCCTATTAATTTTATTTTAAGTAGTAAAAATCAACTTTTTAGTCAGACAAAAAAGAAAGTTTCCTATAAATTTTATTTCAAGTAGTAAAAATTAACTATAGTCAGACAATATCGAAAAA